ACTATGGGGACACGTGGCCCCGGGGGCCTTAGGACCCCCAGCCCTGCGCGGTCAGCTCCCGAGTGGCCTGGGTCCCTGCTCCCCTTCCTTCCTGTTCCTCACGGTCCTCACCCACCCTGGCCAATGGGCGAGCAACACACCAGCACGCCCGCGCTTCCGCCCGGCCCCTCCCCGCCTGCGAGCACGCGTGGGGGCCGCCGTGTCAGCCCACGGGCCGAGGCCCTGCGCTCCCGTGGCCTTTGCTCGACAGAGGCTGGAGAGGCTCAGTGGTTGGCTCTGGTGTCACGTCCCTCCACAGTTGGTTCTTTTTGACAGTCCCTTTACAGGCTTTAGGCTTTGCCTTTGCAACCTCTGGACACACCACCGCTGCCTTGTAAATGTGGGCAGGGTGCACTGGGCCGGTTTACACAAACCTTAGCCTGCAAACACAGCGCTTTCCTGTTGTTTTTACTGTCATTCTCTTAGCCAGCAACCTGGATGAGTCTTTGGAGACACTAAAAATAGAATTTCAGAGTGACTGCTCTTCACGTACTGCTTGGTTTTATTTATAGCATTTCCCTCTGTTTTCTATCATTCTTGTTTGCTCTGTGAGGTCTTCTTTAGCCTAAGGGTGTTTTTTTGTTTGTTTGTTTGTCTTTTTTTTTTTTTTTTGGTGTGTGTGTGTGTGTGTGTTAGAATCCCAACTGTCTCCACTTTGTCTGCTGCAACTGCTGCTGCTTTTGATTTTTAAGTTGCCCTATATTGACTTTCGTTGAATACTGTGGATGATTTAAATATATGTGACTTAGATACCAGCCCCGACATTACTTCCAGTTCTGTGAGGGCCTAGGTGATCTTGAAGCGAATTAAACGTTGATGTGATCTTAAATGACTTTCTTGCTCTTGTGCTTGCTTACTTTTGTTGATAGCGAAGAAAGAAATTGGAAGGATTGTTGTACGGATATAAGAGAGTTGTGGAAATACATGGTGGTTCTGCCATATGGAACACTCTCATAAACATGCTGTTTTCCAGATCACCTTGTGGTCACAGGCAGCCTCATTCACTCTTCTTACCTGCTCTCCAAGAAGTATTTGCATTCTCCTTTTATTTTTATTTTTTTATCCTCCCTTGTGTTTTCTCAGAGGTTCTCTTAAGGCAAATGAAAATAGCTGACTACCTTCTTTTATATTGAATTATAATATTTACTTACTTATACACTTACAGTTTTCTTAACTTTACTCATGTCTTTGTGAAATTTCTGTTTTACTGGTATACACATCTAGCCCTTGCTGGTTTAAATTGGGTAAATTTTGTGTTCCTTGAGGAATGGTGAAACTTTCATTTTTACTTGCAGAAAAAATGTAGAAGACTTCACTGGCCCTAGAGAAAGAAGTGACCTGGGATTCATCACATTTGATATAACTGCTGATATCCTTCAACAAAAATATTTGTTTTTTTTTCTGTAGTTTTGAAATGAGATGCAAGTGTAGAAATTAGAGGAAGAGTGAGTATGAATATTGACTCTACCACATTTTCATCAGTAAAATAGTGTTGATATTTCCTTGTTCACACTTTAAGAAAACTTGGGACTCCTGAGTTAATTGTGTGAATATAGATTAACTCTTCACTTAAACATTAATTTGAATCTAGGAATGAAAACATAAAAGATCAGTTTTGGTTAAAGAAGAAAAAAATCACCAGAGCTCAGCCTGCCTAGAAATAGTTCATTTTCATTCCCACATAATTCTCCATCTCTTATAGAAAACAAACAAACAGAGAAACAAACCAAAAAAAACCCATAAGTTGCTGGGCAGTGGTGGCACACTCCTTTAATCCCAGCACTTGGAGGCAGAGGCAGGTGAATCTCTTGAGTTGGAGACCAGCCCGATCTACAGAGTGAGCTCCAGGACAGCCAGGGCTGATCCACAGAGAAGCCCAGTCTTAAAAAACCAAACAACAACAAACCAAACCCCATGTTTAAAAAGAAATTACATCTATGGTGGTTCAGAAGGCCTTTTATTAAAGTGACAATGCTGCATTATGTCAGCATTGCAGAGTCAGAAATCTTAATGAAGATTTACTGTGAGTGAGGATGAGTTGTTTTCTCTGTATCTCAGTTTCTGTCTTGAGCAGCTGATCATCTTAGCAACTTTAGTCTTTATTAGGTCACAGGTTAGAATCCTGGAAGTGTATTATAATAATTGTCATCATCATCAAGCATATATTTGACAGGTTTACCTGCTGTTCAATCTTGAAACTAGTTATAGTTTTTATGCAACAAATTGCTGGATTTAGTTATAGAGTAGGATTTAGTTTTAAATGTACCCTTATTTTTGGAAGTAGACAGACATGTAATCAGAAAAACCTTAGGATAAACTTTGTTTACATTTTCATCCTACTTTTAAAATTTCAGTGAGAAGGAGTTCATATATAGGTGAAAGTAATTCGTAATCTAGAAAATTACAGTAAGCCAATGGGAATGTAAGTCTTTGGTAGAGGGCTTGCCCAGCACTGTATGAACTGGTTTGTGGGTCATGCCTATAATCCCAGCACCACAGAGGGAGAGGCAGGATTAAGGATCAGAAATAAGGGCATTCTTGACTACTGTTTTTATAAATTACCAATCTTACAGTTTGTTCAGGTTTTCTTTTTCTTTCATAAAGAACTACTATAGACCCTTCATTTCTGAACAATAACTCACAGATTATAATAAGCCTATTACTATCAATATGTATACACATAATAAAATCAATAATTTGCACATGATACCTAATAAAATCCCTGTGCTCCCTCATTTCTCAGTTGTGGCAGAATATTGTAGTTCAGTCTAGTGAGTACACCTCTCCATGATGACTGGAGCCATATTAGTGTTTCTTCCCTCCTAGCGAAGAATCCCACACAATGAGACATCGTGATTTATACTGACCTGTAACCCAAGTCAACTTGTATAGGATGCTGTCCTTGGTTAATTACCTGATCTCTGTGTGTATGTGCCTGTTGCTTCTTTGAATAGTGATGATTGGTTCTGCTTTAGACAGAATTACAGCTTCAGTTTCTTATGTTTATTTTTATAATAAACATGTCAGCTAGTTATATTTACAGGAGCAGGGAAGATAATAACCTGTCCTGATACACACCCCTTTTCAAATGTTCTAGATTTTACAATATATTTATCCTGTGTTTTTCTCTTAAATTAGTGATTTGGTACTTTTCTGGACTACCTGTTGTATTTTGTTTTAATGCTCATGTTGCTGTAGTTGTTTTAAGAATAAGATCTGTTTGAAAGTTGTGTCCTGCTTTGTAATATTTAGAGTCCTTAATTTGTTTACATCTAGAGAACATATTTGATTGGAATGTTAAACAGTTATTTCTTTATTTGTCAGCAGAGTATTCAACAAAAAATAATGTAAGTATTTCTTTAAGTATATTATAATAGTTTCTTTTTAAACATTATTTCTTATGAAAGAACTTGATTTATAAACATTGACCTGTTAGAAAGTCAGTTCTTTCCTACCTTAAGAGTTCAGGGATTGGACCCACTGAGTCTTCTTACTGGCCCAAGAATATCAATTTTATATATATTCAAAGTACCCAACCTGCATAGCTTAGGTAAAACAAATGAGCTTCGGAAGACATTCCCCTGGTAAGAAAGCTGTTTCCCCTGCAGTAGCCTGTTGATACTGTGTGTGTACCTCGTAGCGCTCCAGCATTGTAGGATCCAGAAAGATGCGCATGCTGACCTACAGCAGAGTATTGTTTGATTGCCTTAGTTCCTCTTGTAGTGCCACTACTGAAAGCACAGAACAGTTTTAACACATCAGATTGAGATGCATAGAAACAATGCTTCTGTGTTGTTTTTGCCAAAGTAGTTCTGTGTTTTCCATCAGTATAGATAGGTAATTTGTAATTAAAAGTGGGTCTATATTTGATTTGACCTGTATTATTATTATTTTTTGACCTGTACTGGCAGCATGCTAAACAGCATCATGCACTAATTTTGGCACTACAGCTAATTATTGGGAGTGTATGTTTTATGCTGGGTATTTCATTAGGAACTGGGAATCCTGGGGAGAGCTTTAAAGTGACAAAATATATTTTAAAGATAGCAGAAAAAGCTCTCCTTCAAAAGTAAGAGTTTGATACCTACATTTCAAGATCATCAAAATGAATTTTAAAAATAGGAAAAGTTATTCTTCAAAATAATGAAGTCACTGCTGCACATAACACTATTCAGTGGGTATCAAAAATTGTGAGGATCAGTGTTACTTTTATGATGAGTATATGTAAATTGTGTTTGTAATTCTGGTACCTCAAAAATCCAGTAAGATAACACTAATTTGGAATTAAGTCCCCACTTTAGTGAGTAATGGATATATTTCCATTTGTTCATCAAGCTCTTTGCTTACTTAGACTTTGAATTTGAAAAGATAATGTTTCTGATGAGTTATCTAAGTGACTTTAAATTTGACATAGGCTCTGAACCAAGTCGTCCTTTGGGACAAGATTGTGTTGAGAGGTGATAATCCGAAGCTGCTTTTGAAAGATATGAAGACAAAGTATTTTTTCTTCGATGATGGAAATGGCCTCAAGTGAGTGACTCTTTGTCATTTTTAATATTGTTAAGTAAGATTGGTTAAGAGAAAAACAAACTGTATTTTTATTTTAAAGGAAACAGTGTGTGCCTAGGGAAATAGTTCAATGGTAGAGCATTTGCTTTAAAACAGTTTGGGAGAGAGGTGTTGATGCCTTTTGAACTCAGCTGAAAGACCGAGGAAAGACAAAAATTGGCATGTGGTATAGTAATCATTTCTCTAGTAATTCAAAGTGCAGTAATCACAGAAAAAGTCCACAGCTGTTATATTTGCTTGCTGTAACTGATAAAGCACCATGAACAAATCAACTGGAGAAGAAAGGCTTGGTCTACAGATTACAGTTTATCACCAAGGACAAGAACTGAAACAGAGACAGTGGAGGAATGCTACTTGTTAGCTTCCTCAGTTTGCTTTCTTACACACTCCAAGACAACCTGCCCAGGGATGGTACCGCCTACCAATCATTAATCATAAAAAGCCCCACAAGCTTGTCTACTGGCCCATCTGATGGGGTTCCTCAGTTGAGATTCCCTCTTCTGAGATAACTATCTTATGGCATGTTGACAGAAAACTAACACATGCAGTAGCTTTTACTGTTGAGTGTACAGGGACATGGACTTTATCAGGAGTGGTCTGCTTTCTGAACTCAGTCAGGAAATGATGTGCTGGATCGAGGGCAGATAGCTAGGTTTCTAGTTTGATTCTTTTTTTTTTTTTTCCTGACGTTCAGTTTATTCTTCACAAAACAGGAAATCAGACTGATTGATGGTCAAGATCTCAGGTCGTGTTGACCTTTTTGTGGTTTATAAGAAAAGGTTTAGGAAAAGAGCTAGATAGAATAGCAAAATTAGTAGTACTTGATTGGAAGTATTTTTATTAAATGACAAGTTCTGCTAACCTTTGTTTATGACATCTTTTTATAGGGGAAACAGAAATGTCACCTTGACGCTATCTTGGAATGTTGTACCAAATGCTGGAATTCTACCTCTGGTGACAGGATCAGGACATGTATCTGTCCCATTTCCAGATAAATATGAAATAACGAAGAGTTACTAAATTATTCTGAATTTGAAACACATTTTTATACGTCATGAATTGCATCTCATCTCTCCCCTGTAGCTATCTTCATTTGTTTTTGGCTATATTTTTCTTTTTCTTTCTGTTTTGGTATAAGATAGACTAACATCAAAAGACATAGTGGAAGTGAAAGGTTATGGGCTGCTTAAGCATAGCTTTGCAAACAAAACAAAAGATTGCCAGAGAGGAGGAGTGTAAGAATAGGGCCACTGCATAGGAAGAACTTGTAAGCAGGGTAGGATTGAAATATTTCTTATATTTGCATTGTCTTATGGATACAAAATGAGCATAAAGGGCTGTTAAACTTCCAGGTGTCTATAGAGTCATAAGAATTCTGAATTACTTGTTTTGTGTTTGTGCAAGTTGACAGTGATTGTGTGATTGTGACTTACACGTGACCACTCTATCTTTTAGTGTATGTTAGATTACTGGGAACATTAGTGTGGATCTTTGAAGTCTGGTTTACAAAAGAGCAGAGTGGTAAAATTTTATTCCATTTGTTTAGAAATTCCCATAATCCTTGTCTTCCTTAGGTGAATAGAAGCTTTCTCCAAAGACCAAGAATCTCTTTGTATGCTGTAAAATCTTGCAGGCTCATTTTAAAGTCTCAACTCAACCAAATGTGTGTCTTTTAGTGTTTGCAGAATGCTCCTTTGAATATCTGTATAAATTTTAAGCTTTGCCATGGAAAGTTGAAAATGTTTGTTTGCATGGATTGCCTTCTTGAACTGGATTTGTCCCACTGAACATGTCTCTTTAGCTAACTACAGTTTTCTTAGCTCCATATTTTAATAGTTGGAATAGTAAGAATATTTGTGGTATGGTTTTGCATCTACAAAATTCTCTCATTTGTTTGAATGTTGTCTTGAGTAGTCCTAATGAGGTAGATGGTGCAAATGTTAGCTTTGCAAGTGAAGAAATTGAAACCCATAAATTTACCAACTTGCACCCAAATTGGACAGCAAGTGGTAGAGTTTTCTAATACCTGGGTTTACGCATTAACCCTATTCATCTAATTTAATTGTGGTTTTTATTATTTTGCATTCCATCTAGGAATGATAGAGTGTGAAACTAATTTTTAGCAGCCAGCAACTTACACAATGGTATTTTTGTTTGTGGGTACTCATTTTTACCCATATTAAAACTACTTGGGTTTGTAAAATAATTTAGAGATTAAATACATTACATATAATTAAATATATAATTATATTTGGTGTAAAATTATTTTTGCATGGATCAGCACCCTCAGTTACCAGCTGCAAATTGGCTAGTCTTAAATCCATGAACAGACACTAGACACTGTAGTTCCACCCAGCAGTAACCTAAAAGGGCTCCTTTCTTCCACTAGCATAAATCAGTTAGCATTTGTTCTCTTTACCTCATGTAAAGTATATCACTGTTTAGTGGCATTCATTTCAACAGTTCTTGTATGTGGTGGTGCAGTTCTTACAAATGCATGTGCATGAGGTTTTTATGCCAGTAGTAAGTCAGAGGTACAGCCCTAGTTTGGCACTAGCAGTTTCATTAAACATTTCAGGCTCGCTGTTTCCTTGTCTATAAAGTGACTCTTTACTCCGATATAGATCTGAAGTATTTTCTGTTCATCAGATCATGAACAGGAAATCATGTTGCTTAACTGAAGTCAGGGAGGTGATGGAAAGATTATAGTTCATAATGATCTGAGCTTCTGCTACATTTCACACCTACAAAGTTGAGCTTTATACATTGAACAGATACTAGACGTGTAAAATCTGCAAGTGTCAAAGCTGAGAATATCTGGGTGTTTCCTGGTTAAGGAAGCCATTAGCAAACCTCTAGCATTAAAGCCAGACCTCAGGTGCGTCTGTTGGTCTAGCACAGACAAACTAGGACTGAAGGTTTCTAGAATAATCATTTATTTGAAAAGTGCAATTTTAGGAGTTTGGTAAGGAAAACCGGGAAAGCCCACCTGGCACAATGTGACTGGACTAACATGGCTGCTCCAGCCTGCCACTAGCTCTGTTTCTTAGGAACTGAGTTTCATGTGTGCACAGCTTTCTTAGTTTGTAATAGTTCTTCGCCTTAGGAAGTTTGTATGTTTGATAAGCATATCTCTGGTCTCTGTTTTATAGAAGTCTGATCAAGTCTCTACAGAGATTTAGTGTTTCTGATTTTTAACAAACTGTGGTGATCTATGGATAGTATGAGCCCAGACATGACTCTGGGAGAAGAGGGTAATTGCAAGATACTCAGTAGAGTGATTGCAGTTAGAAAGGAACTTTAAAATGTAGCACTCCGCATATCCCTTTCAGTCTCACCTAGAAACAGCTTCACCTGTGTGCTTCATGCCCATCCATTGCATTTAGTGTCTTTATGCTGAGAGGAAAATAATAAAATCAGAAACTGTTAAGAATGTACTAGGAAAATTGGTTGGTTTGAATATCTTTTCTGGTAGTTACCTTACAGTGGTCTGTCTGGCTAGTTAGTTCTCTATGCTAGGAAATGGGCTCTAAGGATCTAAAGCTTTGGAGGGGCCTGGTACAGGTTAGTGGAGGTTTTGCTGTGTTACACTTTGAATTAACATGCAACAGATGTACAGAGCAGACTTTGTAGCTGTGACCTTTGATTGTAAGTAAACATCTATATTTCAAAAGCTTCCCTGGCTTTCAGCAGCAAGCCTATGTATGTAACTTTCTGTGAGACTGCCAATAGGTCAACGATGTATGTTTCAAAAAGTTATCCCATAGTTTTTATGCAGTTTGGAAAATTGTTTACTTAAAAACTAAATTCACAAAAAACTAATCCATAAAAATGCTGAATATGTATGTGAAGATTTTCTTAATTACAATAAATATTCAACGTTTTTATAATAAAATGAGTTTTTTTTTTCTGAGTGTTTTAAAGATGTCCATATGTATATGTTTTTGTGAAGCTGCTAAAGTGAAAGGAAACCAGTTATAGTAAACATCAGGTTTTAGGAAGAAGTCCGCAGCTGTGCTTTGGGGTTCATTAAACCCAGGATGTTCCCAGGGGCTGTGTACCCCTGTAGTAGACTGTAAGTCCTTTCTTTGAGGGCATGCTGTCAGCTCTGCCCTGTATCTTGCCCAGCACCTAGCCCAGTGTCTGGCAGATGATAGGCAAGCAAGCACCCCACATTATTGATGACAGAGTGCTTGTGTCCGATGTGACCCAGCCATGGGGACTGCCTGTTCATTATCCCCTTTGTGAGTGCTGCCCTTTTTATTCCCACACTCCTGATTTCTCTCCCAAGCTCAGTTGGACTGTTCAGTAAAGTAGTGTGGCTCCACTTCCTGTCACTGCTTTCTCCAGGTTTTCACAGTGAGAGAACTAATTAAGAGTGGCTGTGACAAAAGGAATGAAGGAAACAGTCCAAACTCTTAACAGACTGAAGCAAAATGCTCAAGTTGCATTTTAAGCATAGCCCTGAAGAAATCAATCCCATTGTACTGCTATTTGAAAGCCCAGTGTATTTCCTGAGCTTCCCTTGGACATATTAACTCTGGTTTGGTCCAGTTGACAGCCCTGAACCTACTGAGGTGTGGAAATTCTTCATTCTTTAAGAGCAGAGTTTCTCAGAAGGAACACCTATCAGCGAACTTAGAGAAACAAAACAAAATTGCTCCATCAAAATAAAACAACTCGAGTTTAGAGTCTTCCATTGGGTAATAAGAGGTTTGGGGCTTTTACCCCCCAGTGCTGGAGTTTAAGATTTATTTATTATGTATACAGTGTTCTGCCTACATGCCAGAAGAGGGCACCAGATCTCATAGATGGTTGTGAGCCACCATGCGATTGCTGGGAATTGAACTCAGGACCTCTGGGAAGAGCATCCAGTGCTCTTAACCTCTGAGCCATCTTCCTAAGCAGCTCAGAGAATGGAGCCTGGGGAACAGCTGTGGCCACTAGCATACAGTGGCAGGATGTGCTCTCTTCTGGCAAGAGGAAATGAAACCACTGGTAACTGAAACCGAAGCCTAACGGAAGGGCTAACAAGCTAAACAGCACCTGTAGCTGGGGTGGTAAGATTGTCTTCCAACAAGCAAAGCAAAGGAAGCTGCAGATCTGTCATACCTGTTCCTTGTAAGTGACCTTCAAGAATCACATGCCAACATCAAGCTGAGGTTTGAGCACTGTACTTCCGACATACATTGTCCCAAACTGGGTTACTTCGTCCAAGAATAAAATGTGTGCTGGGCTTTCTCTCCTACCCTGTGAGCCCCTATGCCGGAACATCTTTGCTCTTCAGAAGTTTTACTTCACACTTCTTTGTTCTTTTAGCTTTTCCCTAGAAAAGCATAAAAGCAAAACTTCTCTTTTCAGTACCATTGCCTGATGTGTGAGCACTGCTTCCCCTTCAGAGCAGGTACTTCAGTGTGAACATATGCAAAGACATCGCCTTTGAGGGAGCCCTGAAGCTGCTCCCTGTGCCTTTCACCGGTGGGTACCTGGTAATAGGCATTTTGGAGTAACCCGTGGGTACCTGGAAGTGGGTCTTTTGGAGTTGGCAACAGAGGTGCTGGTTAAAATTAAACATTTGTGACACAAAATGCATTTCATGCCTGTGCCTCATCCGAATACCCTTTTGGGAACCTGGAATGACTATATCTTTCCTAGCTAATGACTTAATACAAAGCCTAGGAAGGGACTTACTGACCAAAGCGAGGAAGAGGATTCTGAGGTGCCTTGTGGATCTGGCATGGCTTTAGTTTGGTGGGAACTGGATCCTGAGGACTCTTCCCAATGGCTGTCTCCCAGGTTAATTGGAGAAGTAGGGTGGTTCCACTGCTTTGGTGGCTACGCCTTCCTTCTAGAGACAACCCAGAACCTGCCACCTCCATCAGGTGTGCATGTATGTGATTTCCAATGAACTAAGTCATCTGATGCTGCTCAACATTGGAGAGCCCAGTTAGCACTGAGTTCACACAAAGCCCATAAAAGGTAACAGCAAAATTCCTCTAACTGAAGTGATTTTTTTTTTTTTTTACTGATGTAGTAGCTGTTGGGGTTGTTAAGGGATGTTTCAGCCATGTGTGATGGAAGGGCTCAGGTGCTTTCTGGGTTTTGGAACTGTTGTCTGAAGATTCATGTTTTTTTCACTTCAAGCCCCCATGGATTTGAATTAATTGGGTAAGGTTTCAAAAAACAAAAAACAAAAAACAAAAAAAAAAAGAAAAGAAAAAGAAAAAAAAGCACCTGCTCAACTTGGCCTCTAGTGTTATAGCATCAACATATTCCAGGGGTAAAAGAATTACACAGCCCAGTATTGCTGCAAAGGGCATGTGGGAAATAGTTTTCAGCTGGGCAATTGTTTCAGAAACAACTGTACCACAGGCAAAAAGCCTGACTTTTTGCTTAGTTCCATGGTTCTTAACCTTCCTAATATTGCGACCCTTAATACAATTCTTCATGTTGTGGTGAACTCTAACCATAAAACTATTTTCATTTCTACTTCATAACTAATTTTGCTACCGTTATGAATCATAATGTACATATCTGTTTCCCAATGGTCTTATGTGGACCCTGTGAAAGGGTTACAACCTACAGGTTGAGAACCAGTAGCATACCTAATTATGTAACCATTTTGTTTATGCTCACCAGCTGAAACTGACCATTGGGGAACAACCATTTGTCATGAATGATTTTGTTTGCTTGTTTTTAATTTGCGTGTGTACGTATGCACACACAACACACATTTGGTATGTGATGAGCAAACATTAAGGAGATTGAAAAATACATTTTTTGTTTGTTTTGTTTTTGTTTTCTTGTAGTGTTTTGGTCTGGTCTTGCCCAGTTTATATTTTGATCCTCTATATAACAATGCAATTTAAATGTGTAAAAGATAGTTGCTGAAGTCTGCTCAAATTGACAACTTCAGTCCAGAATTGCTGATGGTGTCTGAGCTTGGAAGAAATAAGGGTGTTATGCAGATATGTGTAGTTAATCTGAACTCCTAAGAACATACTAGAACTTCTGTATCACCACAATTTTGATTTAAGAAGTGGAAGACTTGTTTCATGCACACCACCAGAACTCACATACTTTTCCTCACTATTAATTTCCTCAAACTTAATTTGCTAGCCTCAAACTTGCCAAATATTTTGCCAAATTACTATTTTGTTATTTTGTTGCCCTGTGTGTAGGTGCATGCAGATGAATACTTATATGCATATGTATGTATAAAGCCCTTATTGGTTAGCAGTTTTCTGTATGGAGACTTGGTTTCTTTGTTTTATTTTAGAAAAGTTAAATACATATTGCTGTGTGATTTAATAAAAGGCAAGGGAATGAAAATATGTTTAGGAAATTTTATTTACTATTGACCTTTGCTATCCTTGGAAGAATAATTCTTAAGGACTCCCTGAAGACACCAAATCCAAGATGCTTGAGTCCTTTAGGTAAAATGGTGTAGCATTTGCACACAATACATATGTAGGCTTCCTTATACATTAAGTCATCTCTTGATTACCTACCATGTCTGAAACAATGTAAATGCTGTGTAAAACTTTGTGTCATGTAAGGGTAACAGAGTCTATACATGTTCAGAACAGACACAACATTGCAGACCTAACTGCATAGCACAGGCAGCAACAGTTGAACTTCAACTATTTTGACACACTTGGGTGGATCTGCAGATGTGAAAACTTGATTTGATTGGCTGGGTATAGTGGTTTGCCCACATGTTTTTTTTCTGATACAAGCATTTGAAAACATCCTGTAGTAAATTTTCTATTGATAAATGAATCTCTCTCTCTCTCCTCCTCTCTCTCTCTCTCTCTCTCTCTCTCTCTCTCTCTCTCTCTCTCTCTCTCTCTCTCTCTCTCCCTGTCTCTCTCTCCCTCTCTCTCTGTATGTCTGTCTCTCTCTCCTCCCCCTTTCTAAAAAGTTACTCAATGTCTACTCCCTCTCCCCTTTCTAAAAAGTTACAGTAATTACCACTTTGCTCCTAGCCTCTTTCCCCTTCTGTCTCCTACTTCTCCCACCAGTACCATTACATTTTTGATCTGTACCTCTACTGTTAGAAGCACAAGCAATCTTGCAAACTGCAAAGGAACTTTTCCAACTGACACAGCTACAGGTAGAACAGTGTGCCCAGTTGGCAGCAGGTGCAGTTACAAAGGTTATGCAAAGTAAGAGACAGTTTTGTCTCTAATGGTTATATTTACATCTGGTAGGGTCTGGGTTCTCACAATCAGTTCACCAGCCAAAGCTGGATCAATCCACTCTATGAGTTTTGTACTACTCTGTCTCCTATGGGAACATACCAGATTTTTCCATTTATCCCATAGGCAATATAACTTGGAAACTTACTTTTAATAGTTGGCACTTTTCCCCTTATTCTTATATGTCTATCTCTCTTAACTTCTTAGATTATTGACAATTATTAGAAATGAGGGAACTGTGGGTGGTTTCTATGATTCTACTTCATTCTGTCTCTAGACTGTTCCCATGAACTCCTGATATCATCTATTTAATAACATTTCTCAAAGACTCTGGTGATTAAAATCATTCTTTGTGAACAGTTATCCAAATATGTAACATTAAATTTCGTGACCTACTGTGACTCATTCAGGCCAGCCGTATAGCTAGCATAGTGAAAGCAAGGAGAGCACACACACTTCTAGGATCCTGCCCAGAATCATGGAGTGTGTCCCATGGGTCTTTGCCAAGTCAGAAGCTCCAGAGTTCTGCCTCAAGGAGAGCCAACCATGCTGTTCTCAAGCCTTGGTCCCCAAAGAAGTCACATGGCTCTCACCAGACATGGGTGAATGGTTTGCCCATTATCACCATAATGGTTAGTGGTAAAGCCAATATTCAACTGCTGGAGTTATCACCAGATTAAATTCTGCTTCCCAG